GTTTCTATAAGTTTTCTAATTAAGCCAGCCTTCACTCGAGCTCCTATATTCAAGTGTTTAAAAACAGTTTCTATTCAACTTAATTTTGTTTTCAACTAATTATATTTGGTTGCCAGTATTACATTCTCTATGATTTATCATTGTAAACATATGAAACATAATAAAATTTAATTACAATAATCTTTTAAGATTTACTATGGAACTAAATATAATTTATCACTGTTTCTATGAGAAAGGTTAATCCAGGTTCAAAAACTCTAACTCACAGATGACAACAACTCATGTGCAAATAAGGTACTCCTTTCCTTATTATTTCATAATGCTGGGATCACCAATCAGAAGTGCGGGGTGGCAGGATACAACTATCTACTGAGGTGGTAGCTGAAAGTACTAACAAATCTATTTATGCCCTTAATTTTAGCTCATCTTTTTAAATTTGGATGCAGTTTTTCTAATGTCCAAAATATGTTCATATTCAATACATATAATATTGAAAATAAGCTTTTTAAGGACGAACACTCAGAACTATTTTTTAAATGGGGTATGTGATGAAAACACTGGAGAGCACTAATAGAAAATATATGTATGTGTATGATCTCACATTTGACAGGAAGCTAAACAATAAAACAAACAAGCAAACAGAATAAAAACAAAGACACTGAAATAGAGAACAAGTGGGCAGTGAACAGAGGGGAGAGGGGAGGGAATTTAAGGGGAAAAATGGGGAGGGATTTTGAGGAACAAGTATGAAAGACACAGGGATGAGGACTGGGGGGGAATGGGAGGGAGGTGGGGAGATGGGGCGGGGGGGGCTGGGATGGGAGAAATAGACAAAAAATGTACTTGAAAAAATAATTAAATAAAAATTTTAAAAAAAAGAAAATATATGTATGTGGAGTGATGTAATTTAAAGTTTGGAACTTGAAAAGGGAACTTTTTTAAAGCTTTCTTAAGCTTTTCTACTTAAAAAACTCTTCAAAACCTATCAAGACACCATCCTTCTACAAATAAAAGCATCTGAAAACAATGATTATCAATTACAGATAAAGAGCACCTACAAAAATGCAAATTTTTGAGTCTTACACCAGGAGGTTCTAAGCCAACCTGCCAATAGACTTGAGAGACTAAGATAGTTTCTGAACACTGTTGACATTCTGAGCCAGATCCTTCTTTGTTGCAAGGGGTTGTCCTGTCCTGTGCATTGTAACGTGTTTAGCATTATCCCTGTCCTCTACTCCCCAGATGCCATGAGCAACCACCCCACTACCTGTTATGACTACACTTGTCTCCAGGCTTTGCCAAATGTCTCCTAGAGGGCACAATAATCCTCAACTGAGAACCAGAGATAAAAGCTGTCCAAATATGGCACATTTTGAGAAATACCACTCTTAATCAAAAGGATAAAATAATGATAACAGTAGAAGATGATGGATATTATAAGCATACCCTGTATAAAGTGAAATGAACAGGCTTCCCATAAATGAAATCTGATTAGCCACTATAAACTTCTGACAACTCAGCTAAGCTTCTAAGTCAAAGCAATCCTCATGTAATTTCAACTTGAAGCTTCTACTTGAAATTATTTTTAATTAACTTCACTGGCATTTTGCATCCTGCTATAAAAATAGTTCGCCTAGTAGTCTCAGAGGACTCTCCCAGGAGAGAAGAGTGCATTAAATCACATATTATCACATTAAACTATATTGCAGCACTCACAGTCCAACAGTTTAAATAAGTCTTGACAGATACAATGAGGTGGGGGTGGGATATGCAGGGATGGGAACAGGCTCAAGAGATTCACAGTATCCAAAACCCGTTATCTTTGATTCATGCATCTGTAGGAAAAAGTTGTATTGATTCTCTGCTTCAACTATATTTATCACAATGACATAATATACTTTACAATTTGTGTTTCCTTCCTGATTTCTACTGACTGTGTATGAGATCTTGGGCAAGTTACTTTAATTCTCTGAACATCCTTTCTAAAAAGTGAGCCTGTTAAACTAAATTATGTTTAAAGACCCTTGTAGCTATAGGTTGCAAATTTATGAATGAGCACTTAATTAAAAGGCTCTTTAACGTATAGGATTCTAGTAACTATTGCACAAAAAAGCAAATACTTATATTCTCAGTATTGATAATAGAATAAATTTTAACATCCTTAATCTAAAAAAGGACAATTATATAAACTACATTTACAAGATAAACTCTGTCTTAAAACAAAAATAAATTTGTCCCAAATTGCCCTTCACTTATCAAGTTACTTGCACAGGTACTTTCCATAAATTTGCTAATCCAATCAACCTTTCAGAAATTAGTCACAAATAGGAAAATTGTTTTAAATTTCACCTTTGCTTTCTATTTTCTATAACAGATCACAAATCACCTGCTTACAGGCCATTTCCAGCCTGCAGATGTTGTTCTTTCATTTGGCTTAGACAATAATTGTTATTTAATTTGTTGCCAACTCCTTAAAAAAGAGAGTTGATACATAAAAGAACATATTTGCAGTCTCTCATGAAATATTTGAAAATATTAACCCAAATTACAAAAATAAGCTGAAGCTGAAAAGTATCTCCTCCTGGTCCACTAGCTGTCCAGTGGCAGACAATCCCCACTACTCCTCATATCCACCCTGGTTCCCTCTTACATGCTAAAGCATATGAGCTTATGTCCTTGCTGTGTAATAATTTGCAAAGTTCATTGAAAATATTTTTAACGTTTTCATAGTAATAGAATTTTGCTTCCAGAATCAAAGCAAATGGGTAGACAATTAAAGAGACAGAGCTATCTCACAATAAAGAAAATCTTCATAACACTGAATACTGTAGAATGCACTTGTAGAACTAAAAACCTAACAGAATGTAGAAAGAAATTTTAGACTTGTGGGGAGTTCACATCAGACACCCCCTAAAATTACCTTCAACTGTAACAATCTATGTCTTCGGTTAGCAGTATAGGGAGCTCATGTGTATAGGTTAAAATATATGTCTTCATACATATAATTAACTTTGCAAAACTTATTTTATTTCATAAGACATTCCATTTTTCTCACCTTAATACATAAATGTTTTAAATTAATTTCAATTAAGTAAGCATTCATACCAGAGAATTATTAAATTGTTCTGCAGAAAAGATGATAAAGAATCCAGGGACATAAGGAACAGACTAAAAGAATTCAAGAAAGTGCCCACTGGCAAACCTTTTTCACCAATGTATTTACCAATAAAACCAACCTAACTTAGGAAGCCTACAGCATGAATCTTTTTTCCTACCCACTCACTCCAACAAATTTTTTTTCAGTACACCTTATGAAATCTACCAGCTTGAGACACAGTATTTTTTAACAATCTTGACAATTTCCTTTAACAAAAATCAACTTTACATTCTATTTACAATTTAATTAATATCTATTTAAAGGATGTTGTGAGTTGACATTAAACTAATTTAGAAAGCAATATGTAAATTTGTTGCTGAGGTTTAGCCAATTTACAGGTAAAATCTAAGCCAATAGTTTCCACACTGATACTATGTGTGTTGTATGAAGCCAACATTCTCCTTTAAACCATTCTAAATGTGCTTCTTAAAGTCAGATAATAATGGGATACCTCACATCACTATGTCTGCACAGGTACATTAAGTATCACTGCAAGGTCTTTTAGGGCATTTTAAAAATGCATACAATTAAAGTTGGACATAGTAGACATCAACTATTTGCAAATCAATAGTTTTTCTAGTGTTTGATATTGACTTTTAATATAAGCACTCTTTAACAATAGTGATTAACAGCTGAACTGTGAACATAAAAAGCCCATCAGTGAGTCCATGACTGCAGGGGACATGCGGAAGGATAGGAAAATGGTTGTGTTGACAATACAATGTGCAGAACAGGGGCTGCTTCTGGAAAAACATGTTTATTATTCTAGTTCTCTGATTTTTCAGATTTCCTCTGTTTTTTCTGGCTCACTGTTTAAAACCAGAAAATAATAATAAACATAATTCAATTAACAGCCCTGAATGCCAGACATTTTGATTCAGCCATAGATGTTTTCTGCTTTTACCTATTGTAGGTTCAACATTCATTTCTTCTTTTGCATTTTTGTTGGCTTAAAAAAATGCTAAAGACCTCACTATATTACTGTTAAGGGGGGAAACTATCAGATATGCTTAAATCAAAAGTACAAAGTAGGTTTTTGAGTTCCGGGAAATTATTGAGTTCATATTAGTATCAAACTCTTTAATCAAAGCCATCCTAAGAGGAAAATACATCATTAGTGTATGGCCCTTGCTCTTTCTTGGTCACCAATGAAAACCTGTTGTTACTTTCAGAAGAAAGAAAATCTGACTTGTTTATAAGCTTGTTATAGAAGTTTTTTAAACAAGAGTATTTCTCTTATAATCTGTATGTGTTTATACTTTGGAAGAACATAAAGGAGCTAATTCATTCTCAGAAAGTATTTCTTTAAAGGAATATTTATTTCAAAACAAAACAGTTATTGAAAACGCATGCATGGGCCATTCCAAAGTAATTGGTCACAGAAAACTGGATTATAAATCCAGTAGCAGAGTAGTCCACAAGAAACAGAAAGATAAAGGGAATGCCTGCTTGTTCAGAGTACAGAGGCTGTCCTGGATCTGATGAAGATGGAAAAACTGAAGAGACCTAGAATCTACACCTTAGCGAGCCCTCCATGTATATGTTTAGGAAAGAAGCAGTCCTGTCATCCCGTTTCTCCACAGCCAAAAGGGGAGTGGAGGAACCAGTAGCTCCCGCCCTCTTAATCCGGTTGTTGATCTAGAGCAAGAACCCTGGAGAACTTGCTTTGTGTAACACTGTCCAAAAAAGTTCACAACTATGAAGTAGGTATTATGTCCTCACCACACTCCCCCTCCCAACCCACACACACACATACACACTCCAATCCAATCGATAAATGTGTTAACAAATTTTAAAATGCAACTACGACAAAGAAGCCTGCAACTTGCAAGCGCGCACTCACCCTGGGCCAAGGAGCCCAGGCGACCATCATTTGCTTCGGCCCCTTGCAGGGGCCCGGGAGCTACGGCAGCGTCAGTGCTTGACATGGGGTGCTCCAGCGACAGCTGCCTAGCTGGCCGCCCGGCTGGGCAGATGCTGAAGGGCTCTTAGGTGCTAGGAGCAGGGAAAAGACTGCTTCTGGTGGGGGAAAAAAGGGGAGTTTTAATTCATCACCCCAGCAGGACAGTCCCTCCCCCTCCACTTCCCTCCGGCAAACCCCACCCCGGGGAAGTTTTGATTTGAAACTCGGGAGGAAAATGGTTTACCGAAAGCTGACAGCAGCGGATTCTCAGGAAGTCGCTGGGGGTGGGGGTGGGGGCACACTGTAGAGGAGAGGGTATTGGATTTAGAAGTTCCAAGGGAGTGAAGCCTTCCTCCTCTAGGGCCGCGAGACCACCACCTACCTTAGTATCCCCCCCACCCCCAACTCACTCAAAGCCCCATTCTCCTTCTCTTCCGCCTGGAAAAGTTAGTGAGGCTCCGCAAAGGTTTCATCTCGCCCTGAGGCGTGGTGGTGAAGCCCGCCCCTACCAGCTCCTCCATGCCCCTCCCCGCCTCCCTCTGGCTCTGCGCAGAAGGCGGCCACAAGGGAAGTGGCTGCTCATCTGACTCCCTGGACTCCGCCCCTAACCTAACCAGTTCTCCCAAGGGGCCTTTTTTCCCCTCTGCCTCTCTTTAAGGCTTCCACCACTCCTACACTCCTGACACACTTCCTCTTCTGTTGTTCCTTTTCATTATATCCAGATGGGGAGGGCTGGAAGTCTTGGCCAACAGCCCAGACCTGGCAGGCTTTGTGCTCCCTTGTGCCCCACTCTGTCTGGGTCAGGAGGCCAAAGCCATAGGGAAAAAAAAGGGTTTTTTTCCCCCAAGCTGAGAAAAGAAGTAAATTAGCTGGTCCCTGACTGCCCAAGAGTCGTTCCACCCACCCTCTCAACCCCAACCCCAGTCATCCTATCCCTTGTCTCCCAGCTACTCTTCCCAGTCCAGCCCCAGAACAAATGAAATTCTAGGAATGCAAGGAGGAGAGTAGAAACCTTTAGGGTGGATAATGCCGAAGGCAAAAATACCAAACTCTTCTAGTGGAATAAAGTATGGTTTTATAACCTTGACCCCTACTTGAGAGTTTAATCTCATGATCTCTAATTCTGAAATTCCCCTTATTCTACTTTTCAGTTATTTGTTTATTTTGGTCAAACAGGGCTTTGAATCTGGTAAAATCGGTTGCAGTTGCATGAACACACTGGAGGCATCCAGGCAGGCAAGAGTCACACCCTCGAAGATGCCTTGGCCCAAGGCCCCAAGCCAGGCCCATTGCAGGCTGAATGCTTGGTCTGACAACGGCTATGTGGTAAGGTAAACTCTCCATTTATTTTTATTTTTTTTCATCTTTTCCAAACTGATAGATTTTATTTTTTATTCCTATTTTTCTTAATCCACATTCTCGTTTTTGTTTACATGTATTTATTACAAATATAGTTGTTTGATATTTGCATTTCTTCTTTTCCAAATTGTTTCTTAATATTCCTTATGTTTTGACTGAGTAGTAAATATTTTTTTAATATTAAATTTTATTTAGTTACTTTTCAAGTACATTTTTTTATTTATCTATTTCTCCCATTCCACCCCCCCACCCCCCGCCCGGTCTCCCCCCTTCCTCCCATTCCCCCCCCCAGTCCTCAGGAGACTTTAATTACAGCTTAATCTGATGAGCCAAGAACAAAAGTGCATTAATTTGCAGATATAAAGTCCTTAAATACATTCAGATAGCTTTTGCCCTTTATTTAATTGAGTAAAATGCAGATCATTTGTAGAAAGCTAAAACAAACTCATTCTTTCAATCTCTAGGACAAGAGATCTTTTTACACTTATGTTATCAAAATTGAAGAAAATGTACATTCATTGGATACCTCTTCTTTCTAGGTGTGTCATGAATAATGATACACTAGGGATATTGTTTCTTTAAAAAAATGCAGTTGATTCCAATTGATTGAGACAATCCATTTATTTTTTTAACTTTATTTTTATTGTTGACACCATTATAGATGTCCCCATTTTCTCTCCCTTTGCCCACTTCCACCCAGCCTTGCCCCACCTTCCGTCAGGCTACCACGACACTTGTCTGTGCTGATGGGTTATACATATATATTCTTTGGCTAACTCCTTCAACTTCTTTCATCCAGTCCCACTCCTATTTTTTTTAACTTTCAAAGAGTCAGTGCAACCAAACTTACTCTCAATTAAACCTGAAACCTCAAAAGCACTGCCTTTGATGTTTCTGAGAGTGGTTATTCAGACTATATTCCTAACAATGACACTTTGCCTAATGACCAATAACTAACAAACACGTTTTCTTTATTTTTATTGTAATTTTTCTATTACCATTTACTATATTTTGGGGACTATAAGACACACTTTTTTATCACACTTTTTGCTTTAAATATTTTTTCTATTTTTCTCATCTAAAACCTAGGTATATCTTATCTTCCAAAAAATAGATGCTCCTAGGTTTTAGAGGAGGAAAACAGGGGGAAAATTTTGAAGCAAAAAATGTGGTAAAAAAGTTTGTCTTATAGTCTGAAAAATATGGTAGTCCCCTTATACCCACCTCCCAACAGCAATCACCATACTGTTGTCCATGTCCATGAGTTCTTTTTTCATTTTCCTCAATTCCTCCACTCTCTAATCTTTCTCTCCTTAGCTGTCTCTATCTATGAGTCTGTCTCTATTTTGCTTGTTAGTTCAGTTTGTTCATTAGATTTCACATATGAGTGAAATCATTTGGCATTAGTCTTTATCTGAGTGGTTTATTTCACTTAGCATAATATTCTCCAAGTCCAACCATACTGTCACAAAGAGTAAAGTTTTCTCTGTTTTTATGGCCAAGCAGTATTACATTCTGTAATTATCCACTCATTTACTGATGGACACTTGAGCTGCTTCCATATCTTGGTGATTGTAAATAATGCTGCAATGAACAGAGAGGTCATTTAAGTTCTTTTGAATTAGTGTGTTTTTTAATTTTTAATTTAGAAATTCCAAAAGTGGTGTGTATAAAAGTGCCTTAAGTCTTCTGAAAACTTGCCTAGGGGCCTAGACTATTTAGAATCTTCAGAATGGAACCAGAACAATTCTGAGGGTGACTGACTGCTCTGCCTATGGAGAATAAACATTTATAAAGCATCACTGTCTACTGCAGCATAATCTGTAACCAAAGGAGTGGGATAGAAGATAGCTGCTCTAGAAGATTCTGTCTTATTCCTTTTTTTGTATATTTCTTTGCCTCTTTTTCCCTGCCATCTCACTAAGATGTAATTCCACTAACTAATTGTGGAAAAATTAGTTTTTTCTTCTACTTTTTAAATTTCTTCTGGGTGAGCTAATAATGAAATTAACATGAGACAGAGTGATAATATGAATAAATTTATTACATATGACATAAGGGGGTTCCATACAAATATGCGACCCAAGGGCATTCATTGGGCAATTGAGATTTAAATGACATTTTGGAGCTAAGGAGAAATTTATGATTTCAAAGGGAAAGAAGGCAATTCACATGAAAATGGTGAAGCAAATATTTGGAAAATAAATGTTTGCTGAGCCATTTTAACTGTGGGACACAGAGAGGACGTCAAACAAATGGGCCTTGGTAGGTTCCTCCTCACCACACATATTAAAATAGGTAGCTATAATGATAGTGCCATTCCTAGAGCAGGTCCTCTAAATTCTTTTAGGCAGTTACAGGGAAGATCAAAGTTTCTTTCTGAGCCTTTCATTCCCTAAAAAACAATCATCTTAAAATAATCAGTATCCCGATTGAGTCATAGTCAGTGATAAATATTTTGGGTTGGCAACTTCTGCCTCCTCCAAGGTTGATGTCGATGAATATTAATAAGGTGCAGCACTTTATTCAGTAGTCAGTAATAAATATGTGTTCATTTAAATTCACACAGTACTGGCCCTGGCCAGGTAGCTCAATTAGTTAGAATGTCATCCCCACATGCCAAGGTTGTGAGTTTGATACCCAGTCAGGGCACATACAAGAATCAACCAATGAATTCATAAATAAGTGAAACAATATATTAATACCTCTCTCACTTTCTTCCTTCCCTCACCCTTTCTCTCTCTCTAAAATCAATAACAATAAATACATAAATACACAAATACATAAATTCACATAATACTTAATTTGGTGTACATGGTAGGCAATTTAATACTCCTTCAATTAACTTGAAATACCTTACTTAATATGAAAAAATAAAATTTAAACAAAAATATTAAGAGCAAATGAGAGGTAGAATCACCAAGATGGTCAAATGCTATATCTTGCTCAGCTATGTAAATTTTGGCAACTTAACCTCTCTATGCTTTGGTTGCCTCATTAAGTGAAAATGATAAAACAACTCTTCATAGGCTCCCATGAAGACTAAATAAGATAATTCCTTTATGTCATCTAGAAGAATATCAGATTTGAGGAAAGGTGCAAAAAAATATTGACTATTATTATTATACAGCAGAAGCATTTTTTTAAATCCTCACCTGATGATAAGTTGTTATTAGTTTTATGTAGAGAGGATAAGAGAAAGAAAGAGAGACATCTACCCGTTGCCTCCCATCTGCATTCCAACTGGGGACTGAACCCACAATCTAAGTGCGCTCCCTGACCAGGAATCAACCCGTGACCTTTTTTGGTGTACAGAATGATTCTCCAACCCATTGAGCCACCTAGCGAGGGCACAGCAGAAGCATTTTGATGGGTAATATTGAACATGACATAATGACTATATCACAAGGACGACATCAAAATATCAGATAACCACACCGTGCAGTTTGCACAAATTATCTCAATGAATTCTTATATCATCCCTATCATTGACTTGCCAGGATTATGCCTCTCAGATTTAGAGCTCAAGTCTGTCTGACTGCAGGCTACTCTGCTTCATTGGATAAACTCAGGTGTCCTCTAAATCAATAAACCTGACATCTGATATATTTTAACAATTAAGTATGGGTAACTATGCCCAAACTTTCCATTTATCCCATCCCTTGCAGTATTTGTTTAGTCTTTCTGACTAATCACTTATCTTGGTTCCTGATGAGTATATCAGTGCACTCATCCTCTCATTCTTTTATTCGGCAAATATGTATGGAAGTTGGAGGCCCTGTCATGAGTGTTAGCAATATAGCAGTGAAGATCATAATGTGCCCATTGCCCTCATGGAGCTCAGAGTCTAGAAGAAAGTATGAACACACCACTCACAACAGTCACTGAATGGAGTGGCAGGGGAAGTTATAGGATGCTACGATGATACCTAGCAGAGATGTAGTCTCATCTAGAAATCAGGGAAATATCCCTGGAAAAAGTTATGTCTCCATTGAGACCAGAAGAAGAAAGTTAAAGCGGAGAAAAGAGTGTTTCAGGCAGAGTAGCATCTTGGATAGAGGTGCAGAGTTTTGAAAGTAGCGTAGCATCTTTGAAGAACTAAAAGAAGTTCAACATAAAAAGATAACCAAATGCAAGGGAAAAAGAAATAGGGGTTGAAA